TCTGCCGCGGCTTCTACTCCAAGTTTTGGATTCTGTGGCAAACAACAAACTCACTAGACAGAAACAAAACTGATTTAGATATGAATCATATGAACTAAGTCAAAGTGCATATGCTTATACAAGGTCAGTTGTTGCAAATTTCATACGGATATGTTTACTCCTGCACTTTCTAAATAATTGGAATAAAAGTATCTTAAACTTCATGAATGAACAAAGTATTGTCAGATTATGTGAGACATGAGATCAGATATATAGTAAGCTCACAGCATACAGCCACAACCCATTCCGACCTGCTGATAGAGGTCCGCCCTCCAGCAGTGTAGGCATCCTGGTGAACAATCAAATTAACATCTGTGTGAAATGGCCTGAAACTGCAGATAGTGCTGTGTTTCTAATGGTCGATCAATTTGCTTTTGGCCTAATATCTTGTGTATATATGACCCCGTCGTTTCTGGCTGTTGTAATAAACAAACATACAAAGTGTTGTGTGTTCTGGATTTTTCTTCCCTCAGATAGAAGTTATCTGGACCTCAAATAGAGATATGGTGGGGGCTTATACCCCCCAGTCTTTGACCCAAAGACTGATACCCACTGACTGGGACCCACACACTGACACTGACACCCGCGGACTGACACCCTCAGACTAATACCAACAGACTGAAACCCACGGACTGGGACTCACAGACTGATGTCCACGGAATGACACCCACAGACTGGGACTCACGGACTAACACCCACGGACTGATACCCGTGGACTGGGACTCACGGACTGATACCCGTGGACTGGGACTCACGGACTGATACCCGTGGACTGGGACTCACGGACTGATACCCATGGACTGGGACTCACGGACTGATACCCGTGGACTGGGACTCACGGACTGATACCCGTGGACTGGGACTCACCCGTGGACTGGGACTGGGACTCATGGACTGATACCCGTGGACTGGGACTCAGGACTGGATACTCACGGACTGATACGGGACTCACGGACTGATACCCGTGGACTGGGACTCACGGACTGATACCCACCAACCACTATCCAACTATCTGAGACAACCACTGTTTGTGACAAAAAACAACTAACTAGCAGTTTAGAGTTAATCTTGTACTGCCAAATATAGTAGGCCTTTTTGTGCACCTGTATTACATCATATTTAGTGCATTTGTAAACACTGAAAGATACTCAGTGGGACTAAGGACAGATTGTGTGCAAAGTGCAGACATTATTATAGTACGCCAGTTAACCCAAGCTACTTGGGAGGCATTAGAAAGTTAATGAGCACCTTTTGAATACAGCACCACAACTTCTCATGCAGAGGGTCTCAGTTGTAGGTCACGTGTCACTAAGACAAGACACCAGTTTTTAGAGAATCCATCAGACGCGAAGCCATGACCTTCGGATTGTTAGCCCAACAGCTAACCGACGTCCACACTGTAATCTACACGATACCGAGTGATAGGTCAGTAGTAAATTTAACATACCATTTCAGTGCTAGCCCTTACCCTGAAGCAACATTTAGTCTCACCCATAGTGGCACTCACTCACTCACTCACTCACTCACTCACTCACTCACTTGGTGTTCCAGGTGGAGGAGCTGGCCCTGATCAGCATGCTGCGTCTACAGAACCGGCCAACGTCCACCACGATGTCCCAGCACACAGACCAAACAGACGAGGGACCAGTGAGACAGGAGATCCAGGTATGTGTGTTACCTGACAGGAGAACCAGGTATGTGTGTTACCAGACAGACGAGGGACCAGTGAGACAGGAGATCTAGGTATGTGTGTTACCTGACAGGAGATCCAGGTATGTGTGTTACCAGACAGGAGTTCCAGGTATGTGTGTTACCTGACAGGAGATCTAGGTATGTGTGTTACCTGACAGGAGATCCAGGTATGTGTGTTACCTGACAGGAGATCCAGGTATGTGTGTTACCTGACAGGAGATCCAGGTTTGTGTGTTACCAGACAGACGAGGGACCAGTGAGACAGGAGATCCAGGTATGTGTGTTACCTGACAGACGAGGGACCAGTGAGACAGGAGATCCAGGTTTGTGTGTTACCTGACAGGAGATCCAGGTATGTGTGTTACCTGACAGGAGATCCAGGTGTGTGTGTTACCAGACAGACAAGGGACCAGTGAGACAGGAGATCCAGGTATGTGTGTTACCAGACAGACGAGGGACCAGTGAGACAGGAGATCCAGGTGTGTGTGTTACCTGACAGGAGATCCAGGTATGTGTGTTACCTGACAGGAGATCCAGGTATGTGTGTTACCTGACAGGAGACCAGGTATGTGTGTTACCTGACAGGAGATCCAGGTGTGTGTGTTACCTGACAGGAGATCCAGGTGTGTGTGTTACCTGACAGGAGATCCAGGTATGTGTGTTACCTGACAGGAGATCCAGGTGTGTGTGTTACCAGACAGACAAGGGACCAGTGAGACAGGAGATCCAGGTTTGTGTGTTACCTGACAGGAGATCCAGGTATGTGTGTTACCAGCTGACAGAGGAGGGACCAGTGAGACAGGAGATCCAGGTTTGTGTGTTACCTGACAGGAGATCCAGGTGTGTGTGTTACCAGACAGACAAGGGACCAGTGAGACAGGAGATCCAGGTATGTGTGTTACCTGACAGGAGATCTAGGTATGTGTGTTACCTGACAGGAGATCCAGGTGTGTGTGTTACCAGACAGACAAGAGACCAGTGAGACAGGAGATGTAGGTTTGTGTGTTACCTGACAGACAAGGGACCAGTGAGACAGGAGATCCAGGTTTGTGTGTTACCTGACAGGAGAAACAGGTGTGTGTGTTACCAGACAGACATCCAGGTTTGTGTGTTACCCGTGTGACAGGAGATCCAGGTTTGTGTGTTACCTGACAGACGAGGGACCAGTGAGACAGGAGATCCAGGGTTGTGTGTGTTACCTGACAGACGAGGGACCAGTGAGACAGGAGATCCAGGTTTGTGTGTTACCTGACAGACGAGGGACCAGTGAGACAGGAGATCCAGGTGTGTGTGTTACCTGACAGGAGATCCAGGTATGTGTGTTACCTGACAGGAGATCCAGGTATGTGTGTTACCTGACAGGAGACCCAGGTGTGTGTGTTACCTGACAGGAGATCCAGGTATGTGTGTTACCTGACAGGAGATCCAGGTATGTGTGTTACCTGACAGGAGAACCAGGTATGTGTGTGTTACCTGACAGGAGGGACCAGTGAGACAGGAGATCCAGGTTTGTGTGTTACCTGACAGACAAGGGACCAGTGAGACAGGAGATCCAGGTGTGTGTGTTACCTGACAGGAGATCCAGGTGTGTGTGTTACCTGACAGACAAGGGACCAGTGAGACAGGAGATCCAGGTGTGTGTGTTACCTGACAGGAGATCCAGGTGTGTGTGTTACCTGACAGACAAGGGACCAGTGAGACAGGAGAACCAGGTTTGTGTGTTACCAGACAGACAAGGGACCAGTGAGACAGGAGATCCAGGTTTGTGTGTTACCTGACAGGAGATCCAGGTGTGTGTGTTACCTGACAGGAGATCCAGGTGTGTGTGTTACCTGACAGACAAGGGACCAGTGAGACATGGAGATCCAGGTTTGTGTGTTACCTGACAGACGAGGGACCAGTGAGACAGGAGATCCAGGTGTGTGTGTTACCTGACAGGAGATCCAGGTGTGTGTGTTACCAGACAGACAAGGGACCAGTGAGACAGGAGATCCAGGTATGTGTGTGTTACCTGACAGACGAGGGACCAGTGAGACAGGAGATCCAGGTGTGTGTGTTACCTGACAGGAGAACCAGGTGAGTGTGTTACCTGACAGACAAGGGACCAGTGAGACAGGAGATCCAGGTTTGTGTGTTACCTGACAGACGAGGGACCAGTGAGACAGGAGATCCAGGTTTGTGTGTTACCTGACAGACAAGGGACCAGTGAGACAGGAGATCCAGGTGTGTGTGTTACCTGACAGGAGATCCAGGTATGTAGTGTTACCCGACAATACAAGGGACCAGTGAGACAGGAGATCAAGGTGTGTGTTACCTGACAAACGAGGGGACCAGTGAGACAGGAGATCCAGGTTTGTGTGTTACCTGACAGGGAGATCAGGTATACCAGGCTGTGTTACCAGACAGATGATCAGGATTGTGTGTTACACTGACAGGGAGATCCAGGTATGTGTAATTTACCTGACAGACAGAGGACCAGTGAGACAGGAGATCAGGTTTGTGTGTTACCTGACAGGAGATCCAGGTATGTGTGTTACCTGACAGGAGATCAATAGAGGTATGTGTGTTACCCTGACAGGAGATCCAGGTGTGTGTTACCTGACAGACAAGGGACCAGTGAGACAGGAGACCCAGGTTTGTGTGTTACCTGACAGGAGATCCAGGTATGTGTGTTACCTGACAAGGAGATCCAAGGGCATGTGTGTTACCTGACAGGACGAGGGACCAGTGAGACAGGAGACCCAGGTTTGTGTGTTGCCCTGACAGAAGAGACCCAGGTTTGTGTGTTACCTGACAGGAGATCCAGGTATGTGTGTTACCTGACAGACGAGGGACCAGTGAGACAGGAGATCCAGGTTTGTGTGTTACCTGACAGGAGATCCAGGTATGTGTGTTACCTGACAGGAGATCCAGGTATGTGTGTTACCAAACGGACGAGGGACCAGTGAGACAGAAGATCAAGGTATGTGTGTTACCAGACAGACGAGGGACCATTGAGACAGGAGATCCAGGTATGTGTGTTGCTAGACAGACAAGGGACCATTGAGACAAGAGATCCAGGTATGCGTGTTACCTAACAGGAGATCCAGGTATGCGTGTTTCCTGACAGGAGATCCAGGTATGTGTGTTACCTGACAGGAGGTCAAGGTGTATGTGTTACCAGACAGATGAGGGAACAGTGAAACAGGAGATCCTGGTGTGTGTGTTACCTGACCCAAGGAGGAGTCCAAGGTGTATGTGTTTACCAGACAGATGAGGGGACCAGTGAAACAGGAGATCCAGGTATGTGTGTTACCCCGTTCTGTGCAGGGAATCCGTGAGACAGGAGATCCAGGTGTGTGTGGGTTACCAGACAGGAGGTCCATTTATGTAAAAGTTGCCAAGGAACCGGGTGCACGGAACTATACAACCAGCTTAGAGTGTGGCTAGTACAAGCAGCCGCTGTACACATACACGCAGCATTGCCGCGTCGTCATTTGTGAAATATTCCAAGCCACGGCGTTAAACCCAATTTCACCTAAGCCTCCAATATCATCCTTCTTGTTTTTGCTTATGAGTCAATACCTTGGCCTTCACTATCTTCTCTCCTCCAACAGAGTGAGCTGACCCAGTTGGAAGAGAAATACCAGGAGGCGCTGGACCTCAGTGTGGCCGGGCACCTCGGGATGTCTGACTGTAAGTTTGTTTCACCACTGTGGGCCGGGCACCTGGAACGTCTGAATGTATGTTTGTGTGTTTGTGACCTTGGTATGACTGAGTGAGTGAGTGAGTTTAGTTTTACACCTTACTCAACAATATTTCAGCTATATGGTGGTGGTCTGTAAATAATTGAGTCTGGACCAGACAATCCTGATTAGTTACGAATTGAGATACGATCACATGCATCAACCAAGACAATGAGACCCAACACACCGATCCCAGTAATTCGCTAGCCTGCTACGATAAGCATGGGCTACTGAAGATCCAGTATGACCAAGTACTTCTTGATATCCGACTGTGAGTTTTATCATTTAAGTGATGGGTGGCGTCTCACTATGTCTGACTATGCGTTTGTGATCTTAGTAGGAAGGCAAGAGTCGGGTTGTCTGACTGAAAGTTTGTATCACTTCGGCACAGCCAGAATTATCTTGGGATGTATGACTGTAAGGTTGTGACCTCTGCATAGCCTCAGTGTCTGTTTTAACCACAGTGTGACCAAGGACCTGGGGATGTCTGACTGTTAGTGTCTGACTGGTAAGTGTCTGACTGTAAGTGTCTGATTGGTAGGTGTCCGACTGGTAGGTGTCTGACTAAGTGTCCGACTGTAAGTGTCTGACGTGGTACCGTGTATGACTGTAAGTGTCTGACTGTAGGTGTCCGACTGCTTGTAAGTGTCTGACTGTGAGTGTCGACTGTACACATGTATGGTCAGTTGCATGTATATGCTGAATGTTCTGAATGTTGCAGACCATGAAGAGGAGGAGGAAGAAGACGAGGACGATGAAGATGATGATGAACCAGAGACTGTCACAGACCAGTTGTCAGCTTTCCTGGATGAACTGTCTACTTAGAAACAAGTGAAGGTCAAAAATTGACATCACTGGACAGGACAGAGATTACTGCATCTCACAGCCAGATCGGTACATGCATTGTTGTTCCAGCCACTTCTTTCATTCAGTGGAGCCACTGACCTGCTGAGACTGACCAGCATGTATATCATACAGCTATTAGGTTTGGATTCCGAACAATAAATTAGAATGTGATGTTTGAAATGTTTAAATGTAACATACCAATTGGCACCCTCGTCCCATTCTGTAATCTACACGATACTGAGTGATAGGTCAGCATTAAATGTAACATACCATTTGGCACCCTCGTCCCATTCTGTAATCTACACGATACTGAGTGCTAGGTCAGCATTAAGTTTAACATACCATTTGGCACCCTCGTCCCATTCTGTAATCTACACGATACTGAGTGATAGGTCAGCATTAAATGTAACATACCATTTGGCACCCTCGTCCCATTCTGTAATCTACATTTCGATACTGAGTGATAGGTCAGCATTAAATTTAACATACCATTTGACACCCTCGTCCCATTCTGTAATCTACACGATACTGAGTGATAGGTCAGCATTAAATTTAACATACCATTTGGCACCCTCGTCTTCTGTCCCATTCTGTAATCTACTTTCGATACTGAGTGCTAGGTCAGCATTAAGTTTAACATACCATTTGGCACCCTCGTCCCATTCTGTAATCTACACGATACTGAGTGATAGGTCAGCATTAAATGTAACATACCATTTGGCACCCTCGTCCCATTCTGTAATCTACTCGATACTGAGTGATAGGTCAGCATTAAGTTTAACATACCATTTCAGTGCTAGCCCTTACCCTGAAGCAACATTTAGTCTCACCCAAAGTGGCACTCACTCACTCACTCACTCACTCACTCACTCACTCACTTGGTGTTCCAGGTGGAGGAGCTGGCCCTGATCAGCATGCTGCGTCTACAGAACCGACCAACGTCCACCACGATGTCCCAGCACACAGACCAAACAGACGAGGGACCAGTGAGACAGGAGATCCAGGTATGTGTCTTACCAGACAGAGGAGGGACCAGTGAGACAGGAGAACAAGGTATGTGTCTTACCAGACAGACGAGGGACCAGTGAGACAGGAGAACCAGGTATGTGTGTTACCTGACAGGAGATCCAGGTATGTGTGTTACCAGACAGACGAGGGACCAGTGAGACAGGAGAACCAGGTATGTGTGTTACCTGACAGGAGATCCAGGTATGTGTGTTACCTGACAGGAGATCCAGGTATGTGTCTTACCAGACAGAAGAGGGACCAGTGAGACAGGAGATCCAGGTATGTGTCTTACCAGACAGACGAGGGACCAGTGAGACAGGAGATCCAGGTATGTGTGTTACCAGACAGACGAGGGACCAGTGAGACAGGAGAACCAGGTATGTGTGTTACCTGACAGGAGATCCAGGTATGTGTGTGTTACAGGAGAACCAGTGAGACAGGAGAACCAGGTATGTGTGTTACCTGACAGGAGATCCAGGTATGTGTGTTACCAGACCAGAGACAGGTATGTGTGTTACCTGACAGGAGATCCAGGTATGTGTGTTACCAAGCAGACAGGAGTGAGGCACCAGAACCAGTATGTGTGTTACCTGAGGGACCAGGAGATCCAGGTATGTGTGTTACCAGACAGAAGAGGGACCAGTGAGACCAGTGAGACAGGAGAGATCCAGGTATGTGTGTTACCAAACAGGCGAGGGACCAGTGAGGCAGGAGAACCAGTGACCAGACAGGAGACCAGTGAGACCAGGTATGTGTGTTACCTGACAGGAGATCCAGGTATGTGTGTTACCAGACAGAAGAGGGACCAGTGAGACAGGAGAACCAGGTATGTGTGTTACCTGACAGGAGATCCAGGTATGTGTGTTACCAGACAGACGAGGGACCAGTGAGACAGGAGAACCAGGTATGTGTGTTACCTGACAGGAGATCCAGGTATGTGTGTTACCAGACAGACGAGGGACCAGTGAGACAGGAGAACCAGGTATGTGTGTGTTACCAAACAGTTATGTGTGTTACCTGACAGGAGATCCAGGTATGTGTGTTACCAAACAGACGAGGGACCAGTGAGACAGGAGATCCAGGTATGTGTGTTACCTGTGTGGTAGCTTTGTGATATATGTGTGCTGGTAAATAGACATGATTGAAAGGCTTCAAATGATTTAAAGTGATCATGTTGTTTTTGATAATAATATGAAACAGCAGAAGCAAGACAAGACGAATCCCAGTCTCTCTTAGATCAGTTTGTTGTCTGTCTTATATGTTTGGTCGACTTGTTATCTATAATTCAATGGGAGATGTAGTAGGCGATTGTCAGATGCTGAGTGATATGTCACCGTTTTACCTTTCCAATATCGTCGACCGCCTCCGTGGTGTAGTGGTTAGAGCTCTCGCCCGGAGAGCGAATGGTCGCGGGTTCGATCCCCGACAGCATCATACCAAAAATATGTTAAAATATGGTACTTGTTGGTCCCTGTCTGAGTGGGGTATTCATGCTTCACTGCGGCATTGTATCTCAGAGGGCTAGCACTATAAAACCAGCTTAAGTCTGGGCTAGTACAAGCAGCCGCACCTACACATACACATGCATGCACGTCGTCATATGAGCGAAATATTCTCAAGCACGACGTTAAACCCAATTTCATCTCACCTCCAATATCGTCCTTCTTGTTTTTGCCCATGAGTCACCTTGACCTTCACTATCTTCCTGCAACAGAGTGAGCTGACCCAGTTGGAAGAGAAATACCAGGAGGCGCTGGACCTCAGCGTGGCCGGGCACCTCGGGATGTCTGACTGTAAGTTTGTTTCACCACTGTCTGGGCACCTGGGAACGTCTGTTTGTGACCTTGGTATGACTGAGTGAGTGAGTGAGTTTAGTTTTAAACCTTACTCAGCAATATTTCAGCTATATGGTGGTGGTCTGTAAATAATTGAGTCTGGACCAGACAATCCCAATCAGTGCAATTGAGATACAATCACATGCATCAACCAAGACAGCGAGACTGACCACCCGATCCCAGTAGTCGCCTCTTACGATAAGCATGGGCTACTGAAGATCAGTGTGACCAAGTACTTCATGATATCCGACTGTGAGTTTTATCATTTTGACGTGGGTCGAGCGTCTCACCATGTCTGACTGTACGTTTGTGATCTTAGTAGGGAAGGCAAGTCGGGTTGTCTGACTGAAAGTTTGTATCACTTCGGCATTGCCAGGGTATCTTGGGATGTATGACTGTACGGTTGTGACCTCTGCATAGCCAAGCACCTCCGGATGCCTCAGTGTCTGTTTGATCACAGTGTGACCAAGCACCTGGGGATATCTGACTGTTAGTGTCTGACTGTAAGTGTCTGACTGTAAGTGTCCGACTGGTAGGTGTCTGACCATAGGTGTCTGACTGGTAGGTGTCCGACTGTGAGTGTCTGACTAGTAGGTGTCTGACTGTGAGTGTCTGACTGGTAAGTGTCTGACTGTAAGTGTCTGACTGGTAGGTGTCCGACTGTAAGTGTCTGACTGGTAGGTGTCTGACTGTACATGTATGGTCAGTTGCATGTATATATGAATGTTCTGAATGTTGCAGACCATGAAGAAGAGGAGGAAGAAGACGAAGACGATGAAGATGATGATGAACCAGAGACTGTCACAGACCAGTTGTCAGCTTTCCTGGATGAACTGTCTGCCAGAAACAAGTGAAGGTCAAAGTTGACATCACTGGACAGGACAAGTTACTGCATCTCACACAAACCAGATTCGGTACATCGTGTTGTTCAGCCTCTTCTTTCATTCAGTGGAGCCACTGACCTGCTGAGACTGACCAGCCATGTATATCATACAGTTATTAGGTTTGGATGCTTACAATAAATTAAGACTGTGATGTTGAAATGTCATAAAGGACAGAAGTCCAACCTAATGTATTCTGTATGCTCTGGATCAGTTCATATTCTGGAATAGTGTGGAAGGCAGGAACCTGGATTATCTTCTGATGCAGACCAGGGTATGAAACTCCCAAACCTTTCAGCCAAGCCACAGGGCTGGTTAGATGTAAAGCTTGCCAACTCTGACCAAACCTTACCTGCCCACCCCACCAAAAATACTAATTTACTTAGTATAATTAAATTAAAACTTGTAAAATATTGAAAAAACTCATGCCAATGCAAGAAAAGAATTAACTGTTTGTTTCAGATTTGTGAGTGAATTGATAATGATTTATTATCCTGAAATATGATGAATATCTTCATATACATGTCTAAACTTTAACTGTACCGTCGGTCAGGTTAATTTGAGAATCTGGCAGTCCATGTTGTAAATAACCCGTCCCTGTCGGGCAGGCAGGTTTTTCGAACGTTGTACAGAAGGTGAAGGTATTGATGATGATGTGTTTGTGTGTTTGTACAAGCAGCCAGCGATAGATGAACTGACTGTAGCGCTAGTGAGGTGTATTTGTACAAGCAGCCAGCGATAGATGAACTGACTGTAGCGCTAGTGAGGTGTATTTGTACAAGCAGCCAGCGATAGATGAACTGACTGTAGCGCTAGTGAGGTGTATTTGTACAAGCAGCCAGCGATAGATGAACTGACTGTAGCGCTAGTGAGGTGTATTTGTACAAGCAGCCAGCGATAGATGAACTGACTGTAACGCTAGTGAGGTGTATTTGTACAAGCAGCCAGCGATAGATGAACTGACTGTAGCGCTAGTGAGGTGTATTTGTACAAGCTGCCACTGTAACACAAGCTGCCAGTGACGTGGATGAACTTACTGTAACACAAGCTGCCAGTGACGTGGATGAACTGACTGTAACACAAGCTGCCAGTGACGTGGATGAACTGACTGTAACACAAGCTGCCAGTGACGTGGATGAACTTACTGTAACACAAGCTGCCAGTGACGTGGATGAACTGACTGAACTGTAGCTGTAACTGCTGCCACAAGCTGCCAGTGACGGATGAACTGACTGTAGTGGCGTGGATGAACTTTGTAACACAAGCTGCCAGTGACGCGGATGAACTGACTGAAACACAAGCTGTGGCGTGGATGAACTTACTGTAGTGACGCGTGTAGCGGATGACTGTAAGCAAGCCAGCGCTGGATGAACTGACTGTAACAGTGCCAGTGGCGTGGATGAACTTTGTAACACAAGCTGCCAGTGGCGTGGATGAACTACCACAAGCTGCCAGTGGCGTAACACAAGCTGCCAGCTGCCAGTGGCGTGGATGAACTGTAACACAAGCTGCCAGTGGCGTGGATGAACTTACTGTAACACAAGCTGCCAGTGACGTGGATGAACACAAGCTGCCAGTGACTGTAACACAAAGCTGCCAGTGGCGTGGATGAACTTACTGTAACACAAGCTGCCAGTGGCGTGGATGAACTTACTGTAACATGAACTGCTGTAACCCAAGCTGCCAGTGACACGAATGAACTGACTGTAACACAAGCTGCCAGTGACGTGGATGAACTGACTGTAACACAAGCTGCCAGTGACATGGATGAACTGTTCCTCCAACACAATGCTTCTCCTGTAAATATACCTGTGATGAGAGACTGGGATTCTGTTTGTGAAGAGTCTGAATGACATACATTAACGGTTTACATTAAACACATGACAGTATGTTGTTCGCCACATCAGATGTTTTTGATGACATTATGGCATCCAGTTAGTCAGCGGAGGAGACATAACCTGGGGGCACTGGTGGGGATCCCTTAAATATATTTTCACAGCTCTTGCCTTTTACAGTTGTCTGACATGTATTCCTGAAGTTTCATTATTTTGTGCTGGCTGTCATCTTGACAATATACTGCATTTTTAACGTATGCCATTTTCTTCATTCATGGTCTGTTAAGTTTGACATTATTTGCTTCTCTCTGAAACTACAAGACCTTTCAAGGTGAAAACCTATAGCACTGATACCATGCACGGTTCCATCGAATCTTGGCAGTGTTTTAGACATGGCTGATCAATCATGGCAGTGTTTTAGACATGGCTGATCAATCATGGCAGTGTTTTAGACATGGCTGCAGCAGAGTGAGTGATCTAGTTGGGTGAAACGCACCAGTAGTTGATGTTCTGAACAATGTTCAACCAGACTGAGGACACTTCAGGCAACAACACGCCCCTTCTTTAGACCATGGCACCTCGACCAGCGGTACTGGAACAAACTGCCTTCAAACAAAGTTACCAAGGAGCTCAAGAACCTTCCAGTGTGCTGTGGTCAGAACATAAACAGTGTTTAATGGATGTGGGACCATTGTTTGCTCCATCAAACCTAAGTTGTGCTGGTCCAAAGATATGGTCATGTATTTGTTGTAGCCCTGCATGGATGTACACAGGTGAGGTGAGATGAAATTGGGTTTTACGTCGTGCTTGAGAATATTTCGCTCAAAAGACTTGCATGCGTGTGTATGTGTAGCTGCTTGTACTAGCCCTGACTTAAGCTGGTTTTATAGTGCTAGCCCACTGAGATACCATGCTGCAGTGAAGCATGAATTCCCCACTCAGACACATTATACTGACTCCGAGCCGACCAGTCCTTGTTGTACCCATTAAAGCCGAGCACCAGGCAGGGACCAACAAGTACCATATTTTAACGTCTTTTGGTATGACGTCGTCGGAGATCGAATCCGGGCAGACGCTCTAACCACTACACCACAGAGGCGGTAGGATGTACACAGGATGTTAACTAGTCTCACGTGTACTACCCGTTAGTTAACTATAGTATATGTGAGTGAGGTCAAGAATCTAGTTAGTCTAACCTACTGAGTGATCGCGAACAAATGCCACGCTCCATAGCAGTTATGCCGTCCTTGTCGGTGATGGGTTCAAGTTTGTATGAAGCCCAAAGAAGGGTCTCGTGTCGCGATGGGACAGGAACAAAAGCACATGAAGCGTAGCACCACCACCAGATTCGGTTGGGTACTATTAGACGTATGCATGTATATACTGACCACTGGGTTTTGTCCGAGAGCATCACATACAAAGGTGATATCCGTTTCCAGAACAGACCACAGCCCCCATGTTAGATAATGTACCGCCTTGCATTTATGGACATTGGTACTAGCAGTGGGAACAATCCAGTATAGCGACCACGACTGCTGGTCGTGATCCGAACAAAGCTGTTGTCATCTCCCCGTTGTCTGGTTACCCGTGAAGATCAGGTTAGAACTGGTCTTTAGTAACCCATGCTTATTGTACGAGGCGACTAATGGGTTTGGCTGACACATGTCATCGTATCCCAATTGCATAGATCGATGATCATGCTGTTGATCACTGGATTCTCTGGTCCAGATTCGATTATATACAGACCGCCGCCATATAGCTAGAATATTACTGAGTGTGCCAACCCAACCCAACCCAACCCAACCGTTGTCTGGCATCAAGAATGGAAGGCTGACACAAACAGATTGTTCTGCTACCCTTTTGAACCAACAAACACAGACTCTAGTATTTGAGAATTTATTAAAACTCCACAACCAGTATGCGGTTCTCTAGGATGTGTCCAAGCGAGTCTCCCCGATCCATGACTTGTCCAAGGCAGTGTTGATAATGGCAACGGCGCCGGTAGCGGCAAAGTCGTAGCTGACGGAGGATGAACCTGAGGAAAAAGTGTGAAAACGAGTGTTGTACATCGGGGTACAGTGGAAGACTGCAAGATCCTGGATAAACTATAATTTTTTTTACCAAGTGGTGGGATTATTTAAAAGATTATTCAAAAGAAGAGCTACCAGTTTAAGTGTAATCTTACTGTAACCCAATGTTATTGGGGCCGGGGTGACGGAGTTGGTAACCTACCTCTCTTTGTTCGTCTCGGCGATGGGGCGCTTGCACAGGAGTCCTGGAAACAGGCAATGCCACACAAGTTGTGAACAATATTTACAATTGTCAGGTCGATATTGGCGAAAAGCTGAAGTGCCTCAGTCAGCATGCCAACCCCGACACCACCATCGGCTGCACACCCACCACGACACCACCATCAGCTGCACACCCACCCTGATAACACCATCGACTGCACACCCACCCCGACACCACCACCATCGGCGGCACACCACCACCACACCACCACCATCGACTGCACCCACCACCACACCACCATCAGCTGCACACCCACCCCACCACACCACCATCAGCTGCACACCCACCACGACAACACCACCATCGACTGCACACCCGACACCACACCACCATCGACTGCACACCACACCACCACACCACCATCGACTGCACACCCGACACCACACCACCGGCTGCACACACCACCCACCATCGGTGCACACCCGACACCACACCACCACCATCGGCGGCACACCCGACGCGACCCCACCACCATCGACTGCACACCCGACACCACACCACCACCATCGGCTGCACACCCGACACCACACCACCATCGGCGCCACACCCACCACGACACCACCATCGGCGGCACACCACACCACCATCGGCTGCACACCCGACACCACACCACCATCGGCGCCACACCAACCACGGCGCCACACCCACTCCCTCACCAGCTGCTCACATACACACCCACACAAACCATTGGCCTCGACCCTACACATCCGACAGACCGCACACCCCACTGGCTGTACACCTACCCCGTCACATTCCAAGCCACACAGAGTGAAGTTACATTCAAACTTGAGGATGGGGTCGACGTTGATGGTGAAAGCCTGGAAGTAGGGACTGTGGGTCTTCTTGCCCGTGGTCTTGAAGCCGACAGTCTTGGGGAACACGATCCCATCCCCGCAGCTGAACAGTTGAGGAACACATGACAGGATGAAACTAAAGCAGGTTTCAATAATATCTTATGTCTGGTTAATACAAGAACGACCTTGATTATCCAGCATATTTTACTCGCCACTAAACTAACTTTGATAATAGATAACCCAGACACATTCGCCATGCAAACATCCTCCATACCCCACCCAGGGCGGTAACAAGTAACTAACTGTGCTTAATGTAAAGAAGTGGAACTCTTGTCATGAAAACTTCGTCTGATAACTTATAAAAAACAACAAAACTTACAAAACATACCTGCTTGAAAACGATAGCGGTGAAAACTCAGTTAACAATGTCAAGACCAGTGACAGCGCACTATAGACACTAGACGACTGAAAACGGCAGTAGTGGCTAACTATTTCCCCAACTGACCCTTTTCGGGGTTGTGGTGGGGCTGTCGTTGACATCGTTACACTTCATTCCAGGACAAGTCCTGCTGACCATGCCAGTACAGTGCTGCTATTGTTGCCCTTAGACCTAACACCAGGCATTGTCCTGTATTACGCCCCAACAGCTGCACACAAGGTAAAATATGTTCTCAAACGACGTTATTACGACGGCGCCGTGTTCTCCCAGAGTCGTCATACAAACATCACGTCTACGCCAGAACTGACCACGTTCAGCAACGCATGTGTCGACATCACGTTCTTCTGGAGCAGCCCATTGGACAAAGCTGACCAGATGGAATGAAGACGACTGATCTATGACCAGTATCCTGGAGGCAAACCTTGGTGTGTTGCTGGACGTCCTGCCTATATTCCATGGGCCACCCACCTCGTGTTAAAACAGGAATTGTCAGATCTGCCCACGGGGCAGTTTGGTAGCCATTACGCTGTTGCTCCGACAGAACGATGCCACTAAGGTTGTACTACCACTGTACTTCCATTGTAGTGATTTGTAAACAAATACTTTTCGAACACATTTTAATTATACATTTCTTCGTTGTTATAGTTTACCGATCTCTACATTGTGTCTCAATTTTTGAAACCAACACATAACAGTTAAAGTTTTGAGGTGTCATTTTGTGCTGTCCACATTACTCCCTGCCAACACGCAAACAACCGATTTGTGCACATGAATATTATAAATGACGACCTTACCGTCGGGACTGACTGACTGAGTTTAGTTTTACGCCGCTTTTAGCAATATTCCAGCAATATCACGGCGGGGGACACCAGAAATGGGCTTAACACATTGTGCCCATGTGGGGAATCGAACCCGGGTCTTCGGCGTGACGAGCCAACGCTTTAACCACTAGGCTACCCCACCGCCCCCTTACCGTCGGGAAGACCTCATGCATATTTATTGAATTTGCATTAGTTGATATCTTAATACATGATATTTTATGAAACACAGAAGGTTTCCCGTTCTTAATATCATAATGTGGCTTGCTGATGGGCTTTACCCTTGCTGGTGGGCGTTACCCTTGCTGGTGGGCGTTACCCTTGTGAATAGCCCCCTTCCCAATCCTCCCCAGATCTTATCTGTAGCTGATCGATAAGTTATCGAGCCTGGACCACACAATCCAGTGATTGACAAAATTATCGATTTACAATGGGATCGGGATACAATGACATGCATCAACCAAGTCGCTGATTCAGACCACAATTCCGGTAGCCGCCCCTTGCAGCAAGCAATTTAACATCGTCAAGGATCTCTCGTCCTCTTATACTTACTAGGCCCGCTGATTTTGTTAACGTTCCATACGACTCAATTCGTTTGCCTACTGCAATACCTACAATGTCCGAAGGACTTCGTAATCTGAAGTCTGACGTGACAATTGTAAAGGTGGCCTCGTCACGTAAGCCCAGGACACCAACCGATCAAAAGAGACGTGGCTGGCCAAGGAAGTGTTATAGTATTTACCCAGCTCTGAGGATGGAGTACCGTGCCTTGGAGCTGTCGATGGCGTCACACGACACTGGGCGGATACCGGGCTCCGCACCTGCAGCAACATCAAACCAACACGTCATGCTAAGGTGAGGATCAGTCGTAAACAGTATTTGATTAGGTGGTGTGAGCTGTATATACGAGTCCAACAATTATGAGAATATAGGTACACAGGTGATTGTAGCATGCGTGAAGGATTGAGTTTAATTTCACGCCGCACTCAGCAATATTCCAGCTCTATGACGGCGGTCTGTAAATAATCGAGTCTGAACCAGATAATCCAGTGATGAACAGCATGAGCATCGATCTACGTAATTGGGACATGTGTTAAGTCGGCGAATCTGACCACCCGATCCCGCTAGTCGCCTCTTACGACGAGCATGGGTTACTGAAGATCAATTATAACCTGGATCTTAGCGGGCATAGCGTGAGTAATTTTTGGTTTTACGCCGTTTTAATAATATTCCAGCAATATCACGGCGGGGGACACCAGAAATGGGCTTCACACATTGTACCCATGTGGGGAATCGAACCCGCGTCTTCGGCATGACGAGCGAACGCTTTAACCTTTAGGCTACACCACCGCCCCCACGGGCATAGCATGGGTGACACGTCCAAGGTTCATACGACCTCGACTACACCACTTAACGCATGCAAGCCTTTTATCTTTAGACCACGTGCTTCCCGATGTATTTGGATATTCGTCCATCATTGACAGTGTAATTACGCCAGTAACGTATTAAATCTAAGCAGAAAATATTCAACATGTTGCAGGAATCAAACTACTTCTAGTTTAAGACAACCTTGTCAGTGGGACACACTAACAGCCTAACCTACCTCGGTCAGCCTATGTCAGGTAAGTGAGGAGGCGATGTTAGGATACCTGTATTGACAGCCTTGAGCTGCACCTTCCGACCAAGGTCGACGCTCCTGCCGTTGAGATTGTGCCCGAGAACGTCCACCATCTTGAGGATGATGGTGGAGCTGCTGTCTCCCCCAGCGTAGCCGTGGATCGCATTGGCTGCCAGCAGACTGAAGGTCAAGGTTACAAGTCAACCTCGGTAGTCTCATCGAGCTGAAGTCATTTCACACGTGTAGTTAGCACAAGTCCACGACGAGATACAATGCAATACGCAAGACCCTCGGTCTGATGTTCAGACAATGTGAACAATGCAATATGGCCCAGCAAACACTGGACTGATACGTGTCTGCAGTATAGTCGAGACAAGTGCTGGTTTCATGGCTCTACCTATGTGATACCTGGCAAAATAGATCATATGGGAACATCCTCTAGTTTCAAAGCAAGCCGATGGGGAACGCAAACCAACATTCAACTCTGATGGCTAGATAAGGGATGCGATACATGTTCTCTACGTTGACATGCATTATTACGACTGGGCCAACTAGTTGCTACTCACGGCTGGTGATCTTGCTGGAAGTGTTACTCACGGTTGGGTGATCTTGCTGGAAGTGTTACTCACGACTGGTGATCTTGCTGGAAGTGTTACTCACGACTGGTGATCTTGCTGGAAGTGTTACTCACGTCTGGGTGATCTTGCTGGAAGTGTTACTCACGTCTGGGTGATCTTGCTGGAAGTGTTACTCACGTCTGGATGATCTTGCTGGAAGTGTTACTCACGTCTGGATGATCTTGCTGGAAGTGTTACTCACGTCTGGGTGATCTTGCTGGAAGTGTTACTCACGTCTGGGTGATCTTGCTGGAAGTGTTACTCACGTCTGGATGATCTTGCTGGAAGTGTTACGTCTGGATGATCTTGTTGGGAGTGTTACTCACGACTGGATGATCTTGCTGGAAGTGTTACTCACGTCTGGGTGATCTTGCTGGAAGCGTTACCCGCGACTGGGTGATCTTGCTGGAAGTGTTACTCACGTCTGGATGATCTTGCTGGAAGTGTTACTCACGTCTGGGTGATCTTGCTGGAAGTGTTACTCGCGTCTGGGTGATCTTGCTGGAAGTGTTACTCACGACTGGGTGATCTTGCTGGAAGTGTTACTCACGTCTGGGTGATCTTGCTGGAAGTGTTACTCACGTCTGGGTGATCTTGCTGGAAGTGTTACTCACGTCTGCGTGATCTTGCCGAAAGTGTTACTCACGACTGGGTGATCTTGCTGATCTTGCTGGCGTCCTCTCCCGCGGGGCTGAATGTACACGTGACGATATACTCCTCCTTCCCATGATGCACGCTAGTCCCCATCTGTCCGTAAAACACGATCACCCTGGCGGTGAAGACCCGGGTGTGTTTCCTCTTCTGGAGACAAGACATCGCAGCCATTACAAACATCACTCATGTGAGCCGAGTCTACAGTCGTTTTGAGCAAAACATGCATTCTATTGTGTGTACGTGTTGTGGGAGGTACTGCCGCTTTGAGCAATACATGCATTCTATTGTGTGTAGTGTTGTGGGAGGTACTGCCGCTTTGAGCAATACATGCATTCTATTGTGTGTAGTGTTGTGGGAGGTACTGCCGCTTTGAGCAATACATGCATTCTATTGTGTGTAGTGTTGTGGGAGGTACTGCCGCTTTGAGCAATACATGCATTCTATTGTGTGTAGTGTTGTGGGAGGTACTGCCGCTTTGAGCAATACATGCATTCTATTGTGTGTAGTGTTGTGGGAGGTACTGCCGCTTTGAGCAATACATGTATTCTGTTGTGTGTAGTGTTGTGGGAGGTACTGCCGCTTTGAGCAATACATGTATTCTGTTGTGTGTAGTGTTGTGGGAGGTACTGCCGCTTAGAGCAATACATGCATTCTACCTGATTGTGTGTAGTGTTGTGGGAGGTACTGCCGCTTTGAGCAATACATGCATTCTATTTGTGTGTAGTGTTGTGGAGGTACTGCCGCTTTGAGCAATACATGCATTCTGTTGTGTGTAGTGTTGTGGGAGGTACTGCCGCTTTGAGCAATACATGCATTCTGTTGTGTGTTGTGGAAGTTGTGGGAGGTACTGCCGCTTTGAGCAATACATGCATTCTGTTGTTGTGTGGGAGGTACTGCCGCTTTGAGCAATACATGCATGGTTGAGTAGTGTACTGCCGCTTTGAGCAATACATGCATTCTGTTGTGTGTAGTGTTGTGGGAGGTACTGCCGCTTTGAGCAATACATGCATTCTGTTGTGTGTAGTGTTGTGGAAGGTACTGCCGCTTTGAGAGCAATACATGCATTCTGTTGTGTGTAGTGTTGTGGGAGGTACTGCCGCTTTGAGCAATACATGCATTCTGTGTGTGTAGTGTTGTGGGAGGTACTGCCGCTTAGAGCAATACATGTATTCTGTTGTGTGTTCGTGTTAGGGGAGGTACTGCCGCTTAGAGCAATACATGTATTCTGTTGTGTGTAGTGTTGTGGGAGGTACTGCCGCTTAGAGCAATACATGTATTCTGTTGTGTGTAGTGTTGTGGGAGGTACTGCCGCTTTGAGCAATACATGCATTCTGTTTGTGTAGTGTGTTGTGGAGGTACTGCCGCTTTGAGCAATACATGCATTCTATTGTGTGTAGTGTTGTGGGAGGTACTGCCGCTTTGAGCAATACATGCATTCTATTGTGTGTAGTGTTGTGGGAGGTACTGCCGCTTTGAGCAATACATGCATTCTATTGTGTGTAGTGTTGTGGGAGGTACTGCCGCTTTGAGCAATACATGCATTCTATTGTGTGTAGTGTTGTGGGAGGTACTGCCGCTTTGAGCAATACAATACATGCATTCTATTGTGTGTAGTGTTGTGGGAGGTACTGCCGCTTTGAGCAATACATGCATTCTGTTGTGTGTAGTGTTGTGGGAGGTACTGCCGCTTTGAGCAATACATGCATTCTATTGTGTGTAGTGTTGTGGGAGGTACTGCCGCTTTGTGCAATACATGCATTCTATTGTGTGTAGTGTTGTGGGAGGTACTGCCGCTTTGAGCAATACATGCATTCTATTGTGTGTAGTGTTGTGGGAGGTACTGCCGCTTTGAGCAATACATGCATTCTATTGTGTGTAGTGTTGTGGGAGGTACTGCCGCTTTGAGCAATACATGCATTCTATTGTGTGTAGTGTTGTGGGAGGTACTGCCGCTTTGAGCAATACATGCATTCTATTGTGTGTAGTGTTGTGGGAGGTACTGCCGCTTTGAGCAATACATGCATTCTATTGTGTGTAGTGTTGTGGGAGGTACTGCCGCTTTGAGCAATACATGCATTCTATTGTGTGTAGTGTTGTGGGAGGTACTGCCGCTTTGAGCAATACATGCATTCTATTGTGTGTAGTGTTGTGGGAGGTACTGCCGCTTTGAGCAATACATGCATTCTATTGTGTGTAGTGTTGTGGGAGGTACTGCCGCTTTGAGCAATACATGCATTCTATTGTGTGTGTTGTGGGAGGTACTGCCGCTTTGAGCAATACATGCATTCTATTGTGTGTAGTGTTGTGGGAGGTACTGCCGCTTTGAGCAATACATGCATTCTATTGTGTGTAGTGTTGTGGGAGGTACTGCCGCTTTGAGCAATACATGCATTCTATTGTGTGTACGTGTTGTGGGAGGTACTGCCGCTTTGAGCAATACATGCATTCTATTGTGTGTAGTGTTGTGGGAGGTACTGCCGCTTTGAGCAATACATGCATTCTATTGTGTGTAGTGTTGTGGGAGGTACTGCCGCTTTGAGCAATACATGCATTCTATTGTGTGTACGTGTTGTGGGAGGTAATGCTGCCAGTGTTCTGCGCCGCGCTCAGCAATATTCCAGCGATATTCCAGCAATATTCCAGCGATATGGCGGCGGTCTGTAAATATTGGAACCAGGCATTCGAGTGATCAGCAGTCGCCTCTTACAAGCACGGGTTGATGTTCACTCAATGTGATCCGAATGATCACGGGTCGACTCACCAAGAACACGCAGGGGTTTGATCCTCTTGTGGGGTAGGAGAAGGGGAGAACGTGGTTGACGACGTCCAGGTTGATGAAGGGGAACTCCTTGTTGCCAGCACACACGGCTTTAGCTTGCACGCTCAGGTCGGAGAGAATGGAGATGGCGCCATCCCCGACATCGCTGGAGCCGCACTCGGGGGTAACTGAGGAAAGGCGGGGTGGATTTAATGTCAGTGTTTCAGGTATGTCACACAATGTCAGAGAGGTCCGACCAATGTCATGATGTCATGGAAACAGTTATGGCGTTGACAATTTGGGTTTTCTTTTCCAAAAAACAAAACATTAGTACAAAATTACTTTCCGATGGCCAGAGTGTGAGAGTGAGTTCAGTTGTACGCCGCACTCAGCAATATTCCAGCTATATGGCGGCGGTCTGTAAATAATGGAGCCTGGACTAGACAACCAGTGATCAACAGCATGAGCATCGACCAACGCAATTGTGAACCGATGTCAACCAATACAAGCATGGGTTACTGAATATCAATTCTAACCCGAATTTTCACGGGTCTCCGATGGTCAGATCGTGGAGCAGCATGGCGATGCCTTGCCCCGTCCACTACCAAAACTTTCAGTCAATACAGAAGAGTAAGCATGCCTGGCATGTGATATACTTTAATAATGTCACATAAGATACACAATCGCTTTATTAAATTCTACTCGGAGGCAGAAGTTATAACATTGGCATTTTCCTGGGAAATCTTGTGAATGCCTTTTTGGATTTGAACCGGGTAAACAGTGTTAAAATGGTCGAAGAAACGCAACCAAGCCAGACAACCAGATGCATATCAATCAGTTCCACTCAATGCAGTCTTAGACTGTGCAGAAATATCTCTCGTTCTGGGACAGTCACATGCCGCGCCTCGGGTAAAAAGACAGCGTGAGTATGGTGGCTGATTAGGGCCATCGCTTTCTCGCCTTAAAATTCGGAAGGCGAGAAAGCGATATCTCGTCTCGCGCTATCGCTTTCTCGTCTCGCGCTATCGCTTTCTCGTCTCGCGCTATCGCTTTCTCGTCTCGCGCTATCGCTTTCTCGTCTCGCGCTATCGCTTTCTCGTCTCGCGCTATCGCTTTCTCGTCTGGCGCTATCGCGTTCTCGTCTCCGAATTTTAAGGCGAGAAAGCGATGGCCCTTATCAGCCACCATACTGGAGAGCTATAGGTCTGCTTCAGTCGGGTACCTCGCGAAATTGCTCACCGATTCCACGTCCATGGACACACCATGTGGTACTTCTATGGCGACGTTTTTACAAAATAGATCAGACAGTGCCCGCAGCCGCCGTAACTACGTCTGGGATGTAACGGCGTTTTTTGGCCTCGGCCAAGATACCAGGACTGCATCAATGCACTAGACACTACCTACTGATCGTTGGAACTTGCTTGTGACCAACACCGCATGCGACAGTTTTCGATATTCGCAGCAATTGTTTACATTCCATATATGGCTCGTATGCTGTTAGGAAGCAGTTCGCCTCGATGTTTTAATTATCGATTTCAGGCAAGTCGTAAGGGATAACAGGTCTTTTATTGCATCAATAGGAAGCTAAAGTGAGTGCATATGCCCCAATGTATATAATATAGCCCCAACAATTGTCGAAAATGTGTGGAATTGTGCCCTTAACAAATACATGTATGTACGTTTCATTCAGAAGTGACCTTAAGAAAGCATGTTTCCACAAGCTGAACTATTTGTTCAGGAATATATACTAGGCACATAAAGAAACTGTGCATACAAAAAGTTACAATCTCAATTTATCAAACCTGTGTAGACACATAAGGATTTAAACTCAGATCAGTGACATGTATCCAACATGCATGCCCGTGCCACGTTCCGTGACGTCAGTGGGTTCGTCCTTGAGACGTGCAATACGTTGTTGCACGTGCATTCCGGGAAAGAATAAATGCCACACAATACTGTCACTTTGGAAAGCAAACCCCTGCCCTTGCGATCGTTCAAAAAATTAAACGGCTATTGAAACGCATAGCATGCCAAGGCTCACGTCTGCACAACGTCATGAGGCCATTGGGATGGTCCGTGGGGGAATGTCTCAACGACAAGTGGCTGCACATTTCCACTGCCACCGGAGCACCATTTCTGCACTGGTGAGACGCTACCAGAACACAAATGACGTCATCGATCGGCCACGTTCTGGACGTCCACGTGTAACAACGCCAATACAGGACAGATGGATAAGGGTGACCCATCTTCGCCACAGGTTTCAGACTGCAGTGATGACGTCCCGGACCATCCCAGGACTTCGCCGTATCCACCCCAACACAGTTCGACAACTTTTACGCCATCACGGGATCAGGCCACGACGTCCCGCCATACGGCCTATCCGACACAACGTCATCGACAAGCTCGCCGAATGTGGTGCCGAAATCGTGTCCGCAGACCCTTGTTTTGGTGGAGAAATGTTTTTTACAGACAAGTCCAGGTTTAACATTTCCCATTGTGATGGACATCAACGTGCCTATCGACGCGGGGAATGTTATGCACAGGCCTGTGTCTTGGAGAGGAATCGCTTTGGTGGTGGTTCCGTGATGATTTGGGGTGAAATAACAGCACGCCAAAGAACTCCTTTGGTGATTGTTCAGGGCAACTTAACTGGTGTGGGCTACAGGGATCAGATTCTTCGACCTGTGGCAATTCCTTTTCTGCAACGTCATGGCCCTGGGTTAACATTCCAACAGGACAATGCCCGCCCTCATACGGCAAGGGTTGCTATGGATTTCTTGCAACACCACAACGTTGACTTACTGCCTTGGCCTGCAAATTCACCGGATCTCTCCCCGATAGAGCATGTTTGGGACGAGATGGATCGACGTCTAAGCCGTCTTCCTCATCCGCCAGATAACGTCCTTGACCTTGCAACAGAACTTGAGACAATCTGGCGTGACATCCCACAAGCCTTCCTTGCACGTTTGATAGGCTCTATACGTCGTCGATGCACTGCTGTTCTCAATGGCGATGGTGGACATACCCGTTATTGAGCTTGTGACATGGTCGTTTGACCCCTGTCCCGCTTGTGGACTCGTGACGTCATTGTGATTGACTTTTCAACTGAAATTCTCCCGACTTGTTATGGTCTCATGATCCCTCCATTAAAGTTTATATGTACCTTTGACATTGTTATCGTACTTATCAACTGTGATAATATTTTGACAATGTACAGTTTCTTTATGTGGCTAGTATATTTTAAACCTGTCGACCTCGGACACCTTGGCGGTCAATGTACATGTAGTTCTTGTAGGAACGTGGAGTACAAGACAGTGGTATCGTACCTACCTTGCAGGATGTAGCCTGGTGGTATCGTACCTACCTTGCAGGATGTAGCCTGGTGGTATCGCTGCCCGCACAGTCGCCTGCAGGAGGGAAACAGTACCGCGTATATATATGTATGGAAATATAACCCTGTCAAGTACCCAGTGGCCTCCATGTCAACGTGTATCACATACAATAAAGGCAGTCCTTTAGTCATACAAGTTTTGTTATGACAACATATAAAAGTTTTGTCTAATAAAAAAACATCCTTAATCAACTTAACAGCCCAACGTAGATAACGATCTACCTAAAGTAACGTACACCTTGATAAAGGTACAGCATAGTCGCCCATCCTAGTTTTCTCATACGACAAACGTTAATTAATGGGCATATTTCGTAAACATCAGAAATAATCAAAAAGCAAATGCGTTATGGTATACATCACGCTATTGCAGCTTCTTCCCAACCAGCCTTGTGGTAACACTTCCGCCTTCGCCCCCTTCTCCCGTCCCTCTCACCACCTCCGCCCAAGATTTTACCATGTGAATAATAAATAGAGCGGCATTGCATAGAACGTTTGGTGTATGTCTTTGAGGATGTCTTTCCTCTGTGGTCTATTTACATAATAAGGACACGTGTACCTGGCGATCACACGAGGGTCTACACACAAAGATTCGTACAAGATGTCGTCACTCACCACGAGGATGATGACGGCCAAGTAGTCCGCCGACATGGTCAAACTGCAACATAATATTACCTTCATTAAAATCCTCGGTAATCGTTGTTGGCCTTCAAAATAAACAATATAATATAATAGTTCAACACTGTTTAATTTTGCAAATTGTATTGGGAACTAATTTACAACTAAACCAGGCTATTCTTTAAATATGATTTCCATTCCCAATAACATGTCAACTAGATCTGAAGCAATTCGTTTAAACATGAGGGGTGCAGTAGCAACGTCTCAACCCCAGTAGTGGCCATTTCTTCAGTCCAAACTCATGTATTCGAGTCAGTGAGTTAACATTTAAAGTCACATCGGCAGTATTTCAGCCATACCATATACTCTGTAAGCTAACTACAACGATATACATGTTTGTAAAAAAAAATCACGGCCCCTATTCTCGAAAGTGTCCCAGCTTAGACAGATCCTAAGTAGTTAAGACAGGAGTTAGGACATCCTACCGTTATGATAAGACCAATTCTCGAAATGATCCTATCCCTGCCCGAACTTGAGCTACCGATCCCAGCTAGGATAGCGAGCTCTTCAGTTGGTGAGATAGAAAAACCTTTATTAAGTTGAGGATTTCCCTAAATATTACCCATGATTCATTCCATTAAAAAGCACATTCATATAAGGGCAACTACAATCTCGTTTACAAGATAAATGGTAAGATTAGAAATCGAAGTAAAAACCTTGAAATTCAGATTTTAATGAAGTAGACTTAGAAGACTATTCGATATTTGCACAACATTATGGTAGATGACCTTTTACTTCAGAGTTTGAAAATCTGCCAAAAAAGCAACAAGGATTTAAAGATTTGTGCAAAAAATATTTTCATTGTATTTGTTTGATTTTTTTATGAATAACTCATTATGCGTCATCTCACAAACTGAAAATTCACATGGGATACAAACAGGAGTTACTTCCCCTATCAAGTTGGCCTTGACATTGACATTTTACGGCAATGTAACAGTAAAGAGCAATGTTGTGATTAAAAAAGCCGAGAATAGGTAAGAATTGAACAAATCTCTTTTGTAGATCTAAAGAATATGTACATTGCAACAGGTGTCTATTCATTCATAAATTGATAATATAAACTAAAAAAACTCAACTCATCACAACAGTGTGCTGTTGTAAATTCAAATGTAATTTAGGTGAGTTACTTAGGCTGTTACAATTGTAACTAGCATATGTCGAAATATCCCATATCGGCCAAACTGGGCGTTCAGAGGGATGCGTAATAGGATATGCAGAAAAGCATGTTTACTCATAAAATCCGGCAAAACTTAGAAAAAATACGAATAGCTGCTGAAAACAATAGATGGGACTGTAGATGGCAATTAGGTCGCTCAGCCAGGTATGACGACGGACCGTCGACTCACTTGGCATGGAATGCACGTGCTGGCCACAGACACAAGGGGCCATCTCAAATATATTTTATGTTTTTTCATGTGTATTGAATATGTCTCTATTGATTATCTAATCTTAGCTAATATCTCTATCTTCAAGCCCGACCCCAACTACCGTCAGCAACACCCGTAATGGTCTTGCTTTTGAGACGACCCCTCCTACCTGTTTCTTTTAAAAGTGATAGTGAGACTATGGTATCTACATCCTTAATAGTTTCAGTATTAAAGTTATGTTTTACGTCTGCTATCGTTTATAATGAATCCAAGTCTAATTTCAAAATGGACATTCAAAAAGTGTCATTTGCTATACAATATCATCGCACACTAATTTGCATAAAGACATGGTCTGCTCCAAATAAGTCGCTTCGGACTTTGAAAAACCCGCATTGCTGATTTCTGCACAAATCTCTCCTCAGTAAAATCCTCCTTTTACATTTCCTATCTCCCTCCCAATGAGACTGTTGTTAGGCCGAACTTAGTTTAACAGATATTTCACACTTTTACATAAATTGTAGATATAAATGTGCAAAAACATTTTTCTATTTCCGACAGTACTTTAGTATTTGACCTAAGTTAGGATATCCTAGCGCTAGGATATTTCTCGAGAATAAAGTAGGACACCTATCCTGGACTTTAGGATCAAAGTTAGGATATTCTAGGGCTGGCATCCCTTCGAGAATAGGGGTCCAGGCCATACAAAGTAAGTTTTAGTTAAATGAGTGTTTTTACAAACGTGTGTGTTATTGTCATGTAAGTGCTTTCGTTCTAACCACAAATCATTGTAACATGGTATAATGGTCGCATTACTATTATACTGGAGACAACACGTCAGCAACAGCAACTCCTTACCTTTCAGTTGCTGGACATCAATGACAGGCAATGAAACACGTGATACATCGACCAGCACGTGCATGACGTCACCTGCTCTGATGTATTGTGGCGCTATGTGCTTTGTTTCCGGGAGGCGTGAATTCATAAATACAGAGAAAGTGGAGAAAGCGATAATGTTGATCACAGAGTGATTCCATTGAATTTAAACTAAATGTAATTTATACAATTTTGCACTAATGTATACAAAGTACCCAGGTGGAATTGGGATCGCAGGGCAGGACTGGTAGCAGCAAGAGACTTTAGTGGTGTAGTGGATAGAGCGTCAGCCTGGAGTGCTGGAGGTCGGTGGTTGATGCCCATCGCCAGTCGCGTCATTCCGGAAGAGGTTTTAATTTAAGGAACCTATTGTTATCCTGCCTTGAGATAGAATCGAGGTGGTAGAACAAGGACTGGTCGGCTGATGTCCGTATATTGTGTAATTGTGTGATAGATGGTAGCTCAGTAGGCTGTAATACCTGAAATATACTTACATAAGCGGCCTCACACGAGCAAGCACGCACCTATATGTCAGTTCAACAATGCTAAACCAGTAACCCCGTTTGGTCTCACTTGAAGAGCCGCCTAATTTAAGAAGCTAACACCGCGTTAACACCAAAAAACATTCTGACGTTAGCCCAATGTTGGTAATGGTTGGCAACGTCGCAGTCGGATTTCATACACTGGCTCGACGTTGTCCCAGCGTAGGGGAGCATCGCGGAAATTATATTCAAGGGACGCTACTCCAAACTGTTACCTTTTCCTAGAGGGCGCTCTGGTTCTTTGAGCAGACGACGCAACATGATCACGGCTTAGCAATCGGAGTAGAGGTTTCCTTTATTTCCGAACTCTGCCAACCGAAAAACAGCCATAGTTCTTTCACAAGTAGCGGCATGAATGATTATTTTCTTGAAATGAAAACAGTAAGTTCACGAAATCCATGACCGAAGCCCAGCAGGTACATGTGATCCCAGCAGGTACATGTGATCCCAGCAGGTACATGTGATCCCAGCAGGTACATGTATCCCAGCAGGTACATGTGATCCCAGCAGGTACACGTGATTACAGCAGGTACATGTGATCCCAGCAGGTACATGTGATCACACAGGTGGCTTCGCAAAATGTAGCATCCCAGCTATCATCCAATCACAATTCGAGCTTGTCACACTATCATAAAATTGGCATCGTCATCCAAATAATTCGATCTTGTCAGTATCATTAAGTTGGTCGTGATCGGGAGAGCATGTAAGTTCCACGTGACTCTAACTGTATCGCTGTAAATATACTAAATACGTTGTAGTGTGGATATTAGTTCTACAGTCCGATGAACGGCCATCCATCCAGCCACCGGCTGTAACCGTGCCCCTAACGGAGCCGGTTTACCTTCATGTCATCAACCACTGGTTAACTGTGCGTGGATCCTCTATAGGCTGCCCAGGTGCTCTACATGTTAAATATACAGGCACGGTAGATGTCCTGGGGGTTTCATACCCGACGGTAGGAGGCGCAGCTCACACTGTATCTATCTATGCTACTTTAGAACTGGAATATCGGTAAGTACGGTATAAAGTGACAAGAATGATGTAAAGACTCGCCTGAAGTAGAACTGAATACGTTATGACACCGTCTTGCAGTATACTTGTTTACCTTCACATCCAGCAAAGTTACAGCTATGTATATAATAGCAAACCTTTATGCTGGTGAAGTGTGAATGGGCCTAGCTGCCCGAACACCTGTTAAATGTTCAATGATCACTCAAGATATGTCTGTTGGTTTGAGTGAGGACTAGACGAGCCGGTGACTCTGGAGATTGCATCTTCACTCTGCATCAGCCATATGTAGTTAGTAGTTATGTACACCATTCCTCACCGCAAGCAACAACGTCACAGTAACGACACTCGGGGGTTCGTGTTGATTTCAGTTTGCAAGGAACGCATTATGATAAAAATGAAGAGTTTACCTAGGTTTTTGCCGTGTTGAAAAAGACTTCCTTTTCAACTTTACATATAGTCTGTCTCACAGTCCCTGAACCACATTAAAGCCCTAAATAAAGCAAGTCTAGATTTCCTCAGGTTCTGAATCTCTGGTCTCCCTAGGGCACCTTTTCAATATAAATGGGCCTGTTTGTTACTATCAAAATTATATATATTCAGAGACTAAGCCATTAGTCTACTTTACATACTGCAGTGTCAAATGTGTCAGGTATTTTCCGCTCACTCGTCATTTAGATGAGTCTCTTTGAATTTCTTCGAGTTCTATGCTTTACTAACAGGTCTCATTGCATTCAAGCGCGTACATTGCATTTAGACCAATACTAGTGATACGCGTAAAGATATTCTTTTCATTGCCGCGACGCCCAGCTGCCTGTGACGTCATAATAATGACGTAATTGATGCAGCAAGTCCGCTCAGCGCATCCAGTTCGTCGGTAAACTATCGACGAGGGAATCGAGGATTTGTTCTGTTCAGCATTCAAGGTAAGGCACGGCTTTGTCCTACAATTGTAGTATGTAGTATGTTCAACAAATAATTCCTGGAAACTATCGCTTTTCTTGGCCTATTGAATTCCATCCATCATTGAATTCTAAGTCGTCGCGATCGCGTTCATGCCATGTTATTCTCTCTGAACATATTGTGTTAGCTTTGAACTGTTCCACAATGCGGCCTTGCGGCCATACTGCAGTCTTCCTCATACTGCAGTCTTGCCGTTCCTCCGCTTACAACCATCACTTTCAAGTCGAATAAGATGCAAAATGCATCACACAGAAATACACCTCATAGTTATGAATTTTGAGAAAAGTATACTGTTTCTTGAAATCATCAACTATAATCAAAGCAAAAGTGCTGAACATGACCTTTGAAAATTAGGTGCATCGTAAATCTCGCCATTTCTTATAGGCAATTACGAAATCGCGATTCAAGGCGATATTCGGTGTATGAAAATATTCGGTGAAATGTAAATATCGGATATTCAGTAATTTCACTCGGAGAATTGAAATAAAAAATAACACTTTAGTAATCCCTGATATTTGTTTGACATCAAGTCACCAATGATTATTTTGAAACGTCGATGACGACCCTGGAGTGGATGAAATATTTTGAGAAACATGAACGCCGAAGTAAGAATTCCGCCATATTGAATGGTGTTTACAAAATCCTTCTTCAAGCTGGCCGGTATTGAGACCCCTAGTACATCACATATTTTCCAAGCTCAGCCAGAACACTTACACCACTAAATTACTCACACATTTTAGAATCATATAACAAATGGTCTTTGTCACAAATACCAAGTGTCTAGATGAAATCAAACGAAATATAGCAGGTGTGAACATGAACGCTTTGCACGTAAGACTGGGCTTGTGTGAAATATACTGTAAAAGGGGTCACCGGTTACCATGTCAATATCATTAGGTCTTCAGACGAAAGTCTGGAAGAACTACTGTTATTATCCGTAGGTTAATTTTATCCTCTGAAAGTTTCGTTTGTGTGGACAATTTTATTCTTCTTCTTCTTCTTCTTTCTTATTATTTCTATGATGTACAATTTTTGAACAGCTCTTCCTGACAGCTCTCCTGACCTAACCGCTGGGCCGATTTTCATGAAACTTTCAGAGGTGATAGCCTGTGTGCTGAAATTGATACATAGTCGAAAAAATCCAGACTTCCGGCTTCCGGTAAGGGCAGAGAACCCAAAATGTCAAAATATTTCAAACTTTTTCAACGTCTATATCTCCAATACTATTAGAGATAAATTGACCAAATTTTCACTCAATGTAGACAACAACCTTCCCCATGGATTCAACCCATAGCGGAAGTTTCGCGGCAGAATAAATTTTCCGCAATTTTGAAAAAAACTGAAATTTTTGCCGATTTCCTCGTTTTGACGGTGCCTGTCTTTAAAAATCTTCTTCTCCAGAACGGCATATAGTACAATCGCGTTCGATATATCATTTTAAAACCCACACTCCGGACTACTTAAACCCTTCAAGGCATATCGATATCTTGAATAGTTTAAGAGTTATCGCCCTTGGAAGTCAGTGAATTTTTTAAGACGCATTTTTATAGGGTTAAGAAAGAGGTCACAACTCTGCGAAAAATCGATGAATTTCATCTTCCATAGTATCAAACTGTAGGTAATTGAATGGGAAACATTTTTGCTTCACATCATGGTTATGAAAAAATCAATAATAACGTCACCATTACGACGCAAACACAGCCTTCGCGATTTCGCAAATTTCCGCACCTTTTTTGACGGTGCCTCTGTTTAACAATCCTCTGCTCCTGAACGGCAAATAGTGCAATAGTGTTCTATATATCGTTTTAAAGCCCACACTCCGGACTACTTAGGTTGTTCAATGCATGTCGATATCTTGAATAGTGTCGGAGTTATTGCCCTTGGAAGTTGGTCAATTTTTGGCAAAACACATTTTTATAGGGTTCACAGCTCTGCGAAAACACAATAGATTTCCTTTTTGAAGGTACCAGACTGTAGATAATGAAATGTGGAACAATTTTGCTTCTCATTATTATTATGTAAAAGTCAATAGTTACGCCACAATTACGCCACAAACAGGAAGGGACATTAGGATTTCGCATTTTTTCAGTTGTGAGATAACTAACTGAAGGAAGCGGCGAGTGTTGCTATATTTTACTGTCGCTTCCTTCAGTTAGTTAGTTATCTCATCTTACAGGAAGCGCCAGTAAAACCTAGCAACAATCGCCGCGTCCTGGTATTCCAGTGCCCCAAAAGCAATGCGCTTTAAGTAACAACTGGGACTCCAGCAGTTTGTTTATCAGCCTGACTGTGCCAGGATCGCGCAAACCCGTTCTGCTACATCATCATGATTGCAGGAATCCAGCACATAAACGCACATTTGATACTCCTCAGCAGAGAAGATGT